CCAAAAATAGAACTAAGTGATGAAGAGGTAGCAAACCTATCTGATGCCAAGTACAAAACACTGGTCATAAGGACACTCACAGAATTGATTAAGCTCAGTTACAAAATGAAGGAACAAATGAAGGCTACACAAAGTGAAATAAAAGCAAAATATACAGGGAACCAACAGTGACGGGAAGGAAACCAGGGCTCAAATCAATGATTTGAAACAAAAAGAAGAAATAAACATCAAACAGGAAGAAAATGAAGAAACGGAATTCAAAAAGATGAGGAGAGGCATAGGAACCTCTGGGACAACTTTAAGCACTCTAAATCCAAACCATAGGAGTGCCAGAAGGAGAAGAGGAAGAGAAATAAGTTGAAAAGTTATTTGAAAACATAATGAAGGAGAACTTCCCCCATATGACATAGGAAATAGATTTCCAGGAAGTCCAGGAAGTTCAGAGAGTCCCAAAGAAGTTGGACCCAAGGAAGCACATACCAACGTACACCATAATTACATTACCCAAGATTAAAGATAAGGACAGAATCTTCAAAGCTGCAAGAGAAAAGGAGAGTGTTACCTACAAAGGAGTTTCCATAAGACTATCAGCTGATTTCTCAAAAGAAACCTTGCAGGCAAGAAGGGGCTAGAAAGAAGTATTTTGAAGTTGTGAAAGGCAAGGACCTACATCCAAGATTACTCTATGCAGCAAAGCTTTCATTTAGAATAGAAGGGCAGATAAAGTGCTTCCCAGATAAGGTCAAGTTAAAGGAGTTCAGCATCACCTAGCCCTTATTTTATGAAATCTTAAAGGGACTCTTCTAAGAAAAGGAAGATCAAAAATATGAACAGTAAAATGATAACAAACTCACAACTATCAACAACTGAACCTAAAAAATAAAAACTAAGCAAACGAATAGAACAGGAACAGAATCACAGAAATGGAGATCACATGAAGGGTTATCAGTGGGGAGGAGGAGAATGGGGAAAAAGGAACAGGGAATAATTAGCATAAATGGTAGGTTGAAAATAGGCGGAGGTTAAGAATAGTACAGGAAATAGAGAAGCCAAAGAACTTACATGTACGACCCATGAACATGAACTAAGGTGGGAATGCAGGTGGGAGGGGATATGCAGGGCAACGGGGAATAAAAGGGGGAAAAATAAGACAACTGTAACAGCATAATCAAGAAAATATATATTTTTAAAAGCAGTAGATGGAAAAACAACAAAAAATAAATTTTCATTGTTCCATTAAAAAAAAAGCAAAATCAATGAATGAATTTTGTTCTCAAAAGGCAAGAAGAATTCCATTAAATGAATGGTTCTCATGGTCTGCAAAGACAGTACTTGAAAGTCTTCCAGGTGGACAGTAGATTGCTTTTGTAGAGTTATTAAGGTTTTCAATGTGAGTAATTATTCTGTTTAATAAAAAATCAGTCTACTGGCATCCCACGAGAAGCAATCCTCTGCTTATTAATTCTCATGAGAATTTTACATTGTTAATCAAGAAAATGTACACTGGCTACGTAGCTCAGTTGGTTAGCGTGTCATCCTGATACATCACAGTTACAGGTTTAATCCCCAGTCAGGGCACATACAACAAGCAACCAATGAAGGAGACAGAGGTAACACAGCCGTGGCTGCCTCGCGTCACCAACATCATGCCAGAAATAGTGGAGCTGCTTACTCTGGAGGATCGAAAAGTGCAGGAGGTTTAGTCAGTTCTGCTGTGCTTAAAGCTGTGGCCCATTACTATGGAGCTCAGTGCAATAAACGGAACAAGGAGTTCATGCTATACTGCTGGGAAGACCTGCAGCACTATTTAGAGGAAGGAAGCTTGTCAAACGTGCTCTTGACTTCTTCAGGCAGATATAGCATCACTGTGCAGAACCTTTTACAGAATACTGAACCTGCATGGATTATTTCAGCCTCTAGCTATTACGTTGCTATAGTAAACAGTAGGCAAAGTTTGATGAGTGTGTACTGACAAGCTGGGCTGGGTGCAACCTGACCTGAGACAGCTGTCCAAGGTCACCAAAGCAAAAACAGAGTGACTTTTATGCGAGAATCCCTACCATTCGAGACCAAGTTCTGAGCCCTCCCCAGAGGTAAAAGGAGATCTGAAGCCTGACAAACATGGCAGCCACCTTTATTTCTGGACTATGTAATGGTGGGTCCACAGCCCTGGCTGGTATAGCTCAGTGGATTGAGTGTGGGCCTGTGAACCAGAGGATCACAGTTCAATTCCCAATCAGGGCACATGCCTGGGTTGCAGGCCAGTTCCCAGCAGGGGACGCACGAGAGGCAACCATACATTGATGTTTCTCTTCCTCTCTCCTTCCCTTCTCCTCTAAAGATAAATAAATAAAATCTAAAAAAAAAAGATGGGTCCACAGCCCACACATAGTCACATGCCAAGATGACGATGGATGAAAAGTCACATGTGGTTTGCATGGGCCGATAGAGTTCTTTTTGGGATCACAAACATTAACAGATAATTTATGTGACTTGGTAGTTATTCTATACCATTTCCTGGCCATTATAAAATTTAAAGAAGAAAAAAAGAAGCACCAATGAATACATAAATAAGTAAAACAACAAATTGATGTTTCTCTCTCTCCAATAAAAAAATTTAAAAAGAAAGTGTAGAGGACTCCTGGTCAAGATGGAGGAATAGGTAGACACACTGTGCCTCCTTGCACAACCAAAATAAGGACAACAACAATTTTGAAACAAAATAACAACCAGAACTGACAGAAAATTGAACTGTATGGAAGTTGGACAACCAAGAATTTAAAATAGACACATTCATCCAGACCAGTAGACAGGGCAGAGTTGGGCAGCCAAGCAGAGAGGGGTTGCTGCACAAAAAGCAGTGGCACCAGCCACACAAGGCACCCAGGGCATGCATGACGGCAGTAGGTCGACCCTTGGTGTGCAGGTAGTGACTAGCAGACCTCAGGTGGAGGGTGGCAACAGGAAGACCCAGTGAGGTAGCGACTGTGAAGCAAGGCACTACATTCAAGGCAGCTGGCTGACCCGGCAGTCCCACATTCGTGCGCAGATAAACCAGCAAAACTGGGGAGCACGTAACCCAGGGTCCCGGTGCCAGGAAATAAAGCCTCAAAACACCAATTGAAAACACCTGTGGGGGTTGAGGTGCCAGGAGAGACTCCCAACCTCACAGGAGAGTTCACTGAAGAGACCCACAGGGTCCTAGACCTTACACAAGCCCACCCACCCGGGAGTCAGCACCAGAAAGGCCCAGTTTGCTTGGGGGAAGTGGAGAAGGGACTGAAATCCCAGAGAGCAGAGCAAGCCCCATTGTTCCCTCTGAAACCCCGCCCCCACATACAGCATCACAACCCAGCAACTGGGCTGCCTGGCCCTGGTAAACACCAAAGGCTCTGCCCCTCCTATGTAATAGGTGCGACAAGACAAAAAAAAAATGGCCCAAACGAAAGAACATATCGAAGCTTCACAGCAAATACAACTAAGCAACGAAGTGATAACCAACCTATCAGATGCACAGTTCAAAACACTGGTGATCAGAATAGTCACAGAATTGGTTGAATTTGGTTGCAAATTAGATGAAAAAATGAAGGCTACAATAAGTGAAATGAAGGGAAATGCACAGGGAACCCATAGTGATGGGAAGGAAACTGGAACTCAAATCAATGGAGTGGACCAGAAGGAAGAAAGAAACAACCAAACAGAAAAGAATGAAGAAACAAGAATTCAAAAAAATGAGGAGAGGCTTAGGAACCTCCAGGACATCTTTAAACGTTGCAACATCTGAATTATAGAGGTACCAGAAGGGGAAAAGCAACAGCCACGAGTGGAAAACTTATTTGAACAAATAATAAAGGAGAACTTCCCCAATCTGGCAAAGGATATAGACTTCTAAGAAATCCAGGAAGCTCAGAGAGTCCCAAAGTTGGACCCAAGGAGGAACACACCAAGGCACATCATCATTACATTACTCAAGATTAAAATGAAGGAGAGAATCCTAGAAGCAGCAAGAGATAAGGGGACAGTCACCTACCAAGGAGTGCCCATCAGACTTTCAGCTGATTTCTGAAAAGAAACCTTGCAGGCTAGAAGGGGCTAGAAAGAAGTATTCCAAGTCATGAAAGACAAGAACCTACACCCAAGATTACTCTATCCAGCAAAGCTTTCATTTAGAATGGAAGGCCAGATAAAGTGCTTCTCAGTTATCTGGTCAAGTTCAAGGAGTTCATCATCACCAAGCCTTTATTTTATGAAATGTTAAAGGGACTTATCTAAGAAAAAGAAGATAAAAAAACACGTATAGTAAAATGACAGCAAACTCACAATTATTAACAACCATACCTAAAACAAAAACAATGACAAAAACAAAAGCAAACTAAGTGGACAGCTAGATCAAGAGCAGAATCATAGAAATGGAGATCATATGGAGGGTTAGCAACAGGAGTGGGAAAAGGAGAAGCAGGGAGAAGGTACTGAGAATAAGTAGCATAAACGGTGGGGAGAAAATAAATGGGGGGTGGCAAGAGTAGTGTGGGAAATGTAGAAGCTAAAGAACTTGTGACACATGGACATGAACTAAAGGGGGGAAGGGGGTGTGCAGGGTGGAGGGGAATAATGGGAGGGAAATGGGAGAACTGTAATAGCATAATCAATAAAATATATTAAATAAAAAGAAAGTATACAATAAGTGACCCGAAGGACCCCATGGAAGTGGTTCAAAAGAGAAAAGATGGCAATCACTGCAAAAAACCTCCAATGTGGAGTTAATCTATTTGTAACATTTTATTTTCTTGAACAAAGATATAAAGCTAATATGGTAAAAATTATATTTGTTCATCTGAGATAGGAGCAAGGATGTAATGTTATTCTTTATACTTTTCTATCTTGGACACCTTTTCAAATAAGTAAAAAAAAATATTGTGTGGCACTTTGAAACACATGTGGTACATCAATATATAAGCCCATACCATTTGATTAATGCATGATGTCCAATTTGTACTTACCAGTGCATCATCTTGCAATGAAGCAAAAAAGAAGCCATAGAGCAAGTTAATTTTCTCCTTGTGATCAATGAAGTCATACATTGCAACCAGCCAACGATAAAAAAGTATCTATTAAGAGACAAAATGTTTATATTTAGAGAAATATAACTGGCACAATAGAACTTATTTCTCCACTCAGGGCTGTTTCAGAAGTCTCTAACAGGGGTGACCAACCTAAAGCCTGCAGGCTGCATGCAGCCCAGGATAGCTGTGAATGCAGCCCAACACAAAATCATAAATTTACTTAAAACATTAGGAGATTTTTTTTGTGATTACATGTTGCAATGTATTTAATGTATGGCCCAAGACAACTCTTCTTCTTCCATTGTGTCATAGAAATGCCAAAGGGATGTACACACCTGCCTAGCACAAAGCAGGATAATAGATTTTATCTCTCAGTAATCATTTCTGTTTGAACAGAGTCCTTGCATCAAGCTACAATGCTCCAAATCCTTAGGCTTTGCACAAAAGGTCAGTGCCATTACTCTCTAAATGGCTCTTCCTTGCCAGTCCTTAAGTGGTTCTCAAGAACTTATCATCAAAGTGTTTAAAAAGATTACCTTGGATAACTTGTCAAGATGACAGCACAGGTAAACATGGCTCACCTCCTCATACAATGACATCAAAATTAAACTAAACTATAGAAAAACCATCACTCAGAACTGTCAGAACTAGAGTTAATTGGAAGTCCGACAACTACAGAATTAAAGAAACCACATCCACCCAGACTGGTAGGAGGGGCAGAGACACAGGACAGGCTTATCTTACATCCATGTGTGGTAGATAAAAATTCAGGAGGGATATCTCAGGAGTGAGGAATCCTAGTCCCACACCAGGTCCCCCAGCCTAGGGTTTCACTGCCAGGAAGATGAGTCCCCATAACTTCTGGATGCAAAAATCAGAAGGGATTGTGTTAGTGGAAAAAAGTTCTGTAGCCCCAAGCAGTTACTCTTAAAGAACCCACACACAGACTCACCTACTCAGACTCATTCCCTCTGAGCTCCAGCACCAGGTTACCAGCTTAAAAGGCACCAGTGGCATACAGGGAGGAACCAAAGTGTCTCGCATCAAGGCAAGAACCGGGGTCAGCTTCCCTCTGACAGAAAGGCAGGCAGAGGCCACTGTCTCTTTTCTGAACCCTCCCCATACAGAGCCACAGAGCCAGTAGGCAGATGTCATATCTAAAATTCCATCAACCTGGCTAACAATGTATGCCCCACCCTGGAGATCCCCTGGGACTCCGTTTCACCCAAATTACAGGCCTACCCAAGCTGTTCAAAGCACTTTTTCATACAAATGACTGGTCTTGGCTCATGCTTCACAACTTCCTAAACCCTCTCAAACTAGCAAAAGCCAGCCTCAGTGAGCTGCAAGCCCCCATACATCTTGCTAAGGCCTGGTACCAGTAGCAGTCAGCCTCGATTCACAGCTTGGCTTCACCTGGGAATCTGCAATCCCAGCGCAAGTAGCAGCCATTTCAGAATGCTTTATAACTCAGGCAGTGTCGCACCATTGCTGACCTTAGCTTGCAACAACTGGGAAACCCCAGGGCCAGCGTACCCAGTGGACAGCTACAGACCACGCTGCAGAACCACCACCCTGCCCCTGCACAGCTGATTCCCCTGCAAGTGAGAAGGTTAGTGGTCAGTGTTCACAGTAAATCCTTACAGCAGACCGACCTGGGTAAATCCTTCCCATTGACCTGCCAACAGCAATCAAGGCTCAACTACAAAAGGGGAGTGTACTCAGCCCACATGGAGGGCCCATCTCAAGTACCCAGCTTGGATGATAGGGGAGGCTGTGCCACTGGACTGTACAGGACACCTACTACATTAGGCCATGCTACCAAGAGAGGGAGTCATAGCAGCTTTACCTAATTCATAGAAACAAATACAGGGAAGCTGACAAAGTAAGGAGATAAATAAACATGGCCCAAATGAAAGAACAGGTCAAAATTCCTGCCCAGGCCAGTGTAGCTCAGTGGATTGAGCACTAGCCTGTGAACCAAAACATCGCTAGTTCAAATACCAGTCAGGGTTCATGCCTGGATTGTGGGTCAGGTCCCTAGTTGGGCATTTGTGATAGGCAACCGAATGACGTTTCTCTCACACATCAATGTATCTCTCCCTCTTTTTCTCCCTTCCTTCCCCTCTCTGTAAAAATAAATACATAAAAATATTTTTTAAATACTGCATAAAAAACTAAACAAAATGGAGATAAGCAATCTAAAGATGCAGAGTTCAAAACAATGGTTATAAGAATACTGAAGGAACTTGAGGACATCAACAGCATAAAATAGATCCAGTCAGAAATGAAGGATACACTAATTGAAATAAAGAACAGTTTGCAGGGAAACAACAGTAGAGTGGATGAAGCCAAGAATCAAATCAATTATTTGGAACATAAGGAAATAAAAAACAACCAATTAGAACAACAAGGCGATTAACGAATCCAAAAAAAATGAGTATAGTGTAAGAAGCCTCTGGGAGCACTTCTGGCACTCCAACATTTGCATGAATGGAAATGAGAAAGAGCAAGAAACTGAAAACTATTTTAAAAAATAATAGAAGAAAACTTCGTTACTTTGGTGAAGGAAATGGAAACTGCAAGACAACATTAAACACAACAACATTTTAATCATAGGGATACCTGAAGGAGAAGATAAGAAGCAAAGGATAGAAACTCTATTTGAAAAAATAATGAGAGGAAACTTTCCAAACTTGCAGAGGGGAAAAAACCATGCAAGTTCAGGAAACACAGAGAGCCCCAAACAAGATGGACACAAAGAGGCCCGTTCCAAGACATATCATAATTAAAATGCTAATGGTTAAAGATAAAGAGAGAATCTTAAAAGCTACAAGAGGAAAGCAGTAGTTATCTACAGATGAGTTCCCATGAGGCTGTCAGCTGATTTGTCAAAAGAAACCTTACAGGCTAGAAGGGCGTGGCAAGAAATATTCAAAGTCATGAAAAGCTGGGACCTACAGCCAAGACTGCTCTACCCAGCAAAGCTATTATTTAGAATCAAAGGGCAGATAAAGAGCTTCTCAGACAAGAAAACACAAAAGGAGTTCATCAGCATCAAACCATTATATAAAATGTAAAAGGGCCCTGGCTGGTGTAGCTCAGTGGATTGAGTGCGGGCCTGCGAACCAGACAATCGCGGTTCGATTCCCAGTCAGGGCACATTCCTAGGTTGCAGGCCAGTTCCCTGCAGGCCAATTCCCAGCAGGGGATGCATGAAAGGCAACCATACATTGATGTTTCTCTGGCTCTCTCCTTCCCTTCCCCTCTAAAGATAAATAAATAAAAAAAATTAAAAAAAAAGATTTTAAAATGTAAAAGGGACTTACTTAAGAAAATGAAGAAGATCAAAACTTTGAACAATAACATGGGAATAAATACCAACGGTATTTTTCGGAGTATAAAACGCACTTTTTTTTACCACATTTTTTGCTTCAAATTTCCCCCCTATTTTCCTCCTTTAAAACCTAGGTGTGTCTGGGGTCTGCACCATAAGATGCACCTAGGTTTTAGAGGAGGAAAATAGAAAAAAAAGTTTTTTGAAGCAATAAATGTAGTACAAATGCACATCTTATAGTCCCAAAAATAAACTATCTATCAACAACTGAATCTAAAAACAGACTAAGCAAACAAGAACAGAATCATGGATATAGGGAGCGTTTTGATGGTTGCCGAATGGGGGGAGGTATAGGGGAATGAGTGACAAGGTGAGGGGATTAGGAAATACAAATAGGTAGTTACAGAATAGCCATGGGGATGTAAAGTACAGTATAAGAAATGGAGTAGTTGAAGAACTTATACTCATGACCCATGGGCATGAACAAAGGCGTGGGGATTGCCTGAGGGAGTGGTGGGTGCTGGGTGGAGGGCAGCAAAGGGGGAGAACTTGGCACAACTCTAATAGCATAATGAATAAAATATAATTTAAAAAAAGAAAAAATAAAAATAAAAAGATTACCTTGGTGCTACCACAACACTTGCCAGCACAAAGCCAGGAGACCGCCTTAACCACAGAATCTTCTGATATTAGAGTTGCTGGAATCATGCATCTCAATATCTGAGAGTTTACAGCACTCCCTGGGAAGCAGACAAACTCTAAATTAAACTGCATTTTGGTATCTTGATAGTTCCCTTACTATCATTCACTCTTGGTCCTAAAAAAAAATCTCACTTTACATTGAAGGCAAAAAAAATATGAGTAATATTTGACATCTCTTATCATTATTAACACATTTTGAAATAAAAATGTACCTTAAACTTCTAATGTAAACTACAAAGCAAATTCTTTGGCTCTGATATTTCTATTTAAAATGTGAGGATAAGTTCAGGGTTTCTTTTTGGGTTGAAGATATGTTTGGGAATTAGAGAGTGGAAATGGTTTCACAACTCTGTGAATGTTTAAAAAAAAAACCCTGATGCATGCTTCAAAAGTGTGAATTTTATGGTATGTGAATTACACCTCAAAAAAAGTCTTTACTCAGAGGAAAATTTCAAGGATTATTCTTTTGTTATTATTTTGTAATGGCAGAATAGATTCTGATTTATTTAAAACTACTGACAGACATCTTACGTGGGCTGCTATTAAATAAATATTTATTTATTTATTTAATAATAAATAAATATATTTGGACTCTCCATCCCTCCCCCAAAAGTGGAGAGGATAGAATGGAACAGCTATTTTCGGAATTAGATGGCAGTAATATTCTAGACTGGTGCAATTATTCCATCATACTCTATGGCTTCTATGATATCCTTCCATCTGGTAAGAGAAGTGATGTTGCAAATAGCTTTGTATACATCCTGTATCAACTTCTGCTTATTAAGACTTCAAGATTTAAATAAGCATCTCATTAATTCCTTTTTGTATTTAAACATTGTTTTATTTGCATTCTACTGTGGTGATCACAACCATTCACTGAAAAAACACTGTTCTCCACTTAGGCAAGTAGAATTCACAAAAGCATCTTGGACGCATGTATTTTTACCACAGTTTTACATGCCTAAAAGTGTAACAATCACCTCCACTCACTATAATAACACCATTCTCAACTTGTCCCACAAGTAGCATTCTTAGGTACATCTAACACATCTTTAAACACTATTCCACATGCATTATAGCACAGTGATCACATCCATTCACTGAAATAATGCTGTTCTTAATAATCCTGTAAGTAGCATTTTCAGAAACATACATGTTTATTTTACATTATTATAGAACAGCATTATTTCATTGAATGGATGTGATCACTGTGCTATAATGCACGTATATCTTTATTTAAAGTATAAAGGGACACACATATCATTTTACATTTTAAATAAAAGTGGTATATATTTAAGATGTACAACATGATGATGTGATATACATATACAGAGTAAAATGACTACCACAGTCAAGTTAATTAACATTATCTCCTCACATAGCTACCATTTTTTTACATGTGGTAAGAGCACCTCAAATCTACTCAGAACATTTCCAGTATTCACTACAGTATTATTAACTATAGTTATCATACAGATCTCTAGATTTATTCATCCTGCATAATTTACAATAATGTATCTCATCAATTTTTACCTCATCATTCCATAGAGAAGGAAGCAGTGAAAGCAGGAAATGAATCACAGGAATAAAAACCTCTCCTTTCCACTCCTATGGTTCTTGTTTTTATTTCTCTTCCACACTTTCACCCTCTAACCCTTCTAAAGTTTAAAACAGTCTGACCATGTGACACTTTACACATGGACCAGATTCAAAGGGGGGATTCAATAGGCTCTTTTCTTACTTCCCAATGACTGTTTAATTAATTTCTAAAGAGTCTAGTCTCTTTGTACCCAATTACAACATTTGTAGCACACCTGCCCCTGAATATGCATTACAACTCAGCAAAAGAGCTACATGTAAAGATCTAGTGGTGATGAGGGATATCATAGAAGTAACTAAAAGGGGAAAAAGCAGTTAAGGAGGTCACATTTCACATCATCGAGTTCCACCTTAAGAGAAAAATTAAAAGCTATACTAAAAAGCCAGAGATTGCTTTTTAATATTTTAAATCATATATTCAAGTTTCTAAATCTGAGACATGCATTTCGAGAGGCATATATTTGCTAAAAGACCTGACAAACGTCACAAAAATGTTCTAACCATTAATTTCTGAGATATCAAGAAAGAGAATTCCAAAATAGAAAACACCTGTACATTCCATACATGTTTTAAGGAGAGAAGGGAGAAAGAGAATTGTTCTTGATAGACACTGATCAGTTAAACACAGATTCCTGGGAAGATATCAGAACCCAACAATCTAAAACCACTTAAAAGAGCCTTGCCCTTCCAACTGGTATAGCTCAGTGGGTTGGGAGTCATCTGGCAGACTGCAAAGTCACCAGTTTGATTCCTGGTCAGCGTACATTCCTAGGTTGCATGCCAGGTCCCCAATTGTGGGCATGCGACAGGCAATCAATCAATGTTTCCCTCATGCATGGACGTTTCTCCCTCTCTCTTTCTCCCTTCCTGCCCCTCTCTCTAAAAATAAATATATAAAATCTTTAAAAAAAGAAGAGCCAATTTTATTAGGTCAAATTTAACTTTCTAGAAAACAGAGAGAACCCATCAGGTAAAAGCAGAGAAATAAAATACCTGGGACTCATATATTGAATTCAGCTGGTAATGCATTGTTGCTTTAAACATACATGCACACACACCTGTGAACATGATACTAGGGTATACACAAAGAAACGCAATATGCAAGGGCCAGTTTTGATAGTTTTAATTAAAAAAAAAAGGCAGAAAACCTGGTAGCAGTGTGGCCCAGTACAAACCTTAGTTAGAAGATCTGAATTCTCCAGTTCTAGCTCTGATGTTTAACCAAGTCTCTAACCACTCAGGGCCTCAGTTTCCTCATTTTTAAATGAGGATGTACACGATCTAAAATACCTTCTAAGTCGCAATGTGGATACAAGTAGCTTAAAACATGTTTCTCAAGTAAAAACAATACTAGCCAGATGTTATTTCTTCCTAAGAACTCCACCCCCATGCCCATGCCAAATTAATTTAAAATAGGAAAGGAAACATTTGTACAAAAAATAAAACCCATCTTGACTGTTATGGTAACAGATGCTGGATAAGTGAACCTAAAAGCAATGAAGTATACAAAGTGATCTTTTAAGGTGCCTTCCAGCAACATTACTTAAATTGTATCTATGCTTCTTAAGAGAAATACTGAAAATGGCTCACACGCATTTGGTGACAAGAGTATATACATTTTACTTGTAAAGTTATGTGATAACTAGCCATTTTCATTATTCACGCAGAAACTTTTGGCACATAAGGTAGTCTGAATATAAGAAAGTTCCATTTTGGTTTTGTAAATAGAATAGTAACAAAAGAACTACAACTGATTCTAATGAGCCATCTAATTCAAAGTCTGGGGGGCGAAACTAATAACAAACTATGACAAATGCATCCCCTTGACATACCAAATTTGCCACTGAGTGCCACATTTAACAGAATGTCAATCCCTTCTGGAGCTAACCCATTCTTCCAAGCCACATTTTCCACAGTTTTCAGGTGTTTTTCCAAGGTTTTATCTTTATTCCATGAAGTTTTAAAGGGACCTGGAAAAAGAACCATATTAATGAGAAATTTAAAATTCTTTCAGTCTCCAGCCTCCATAATTACAACTTGGGATACTTTAAAGGAATATCTTTATGTATAAAAGGCCTTCCTAAAAGCCCTTCAAAGCCTTGAAACTCTACAATATTTAACAGCAATAGCACCTTCACTGAGGAAAACTGAATCATGCCTTGGCATCTCTGCTCTAAATTAATTAAAAGCATTGAATTTAGACCATAAGTTGTGTCAATACTAGGGCAGTGGTTCCCAAATTTTGAAATCATCTAAGTCGTCTTTAAAAAATCCCAGTGCCCAGGTTGCATCTCGTACCAAAAAATCATATTGTCTAAGAGTAGATGCCAAGTATTAGTGTGTTGAAAGAGTCCTGGGTAATTTCAATGCGCAGCAGTTTGGAAACCGCTCTGCCATAAATGTGCTTTGCTATCGTATACCTTGTACCAAGCATACTGATATGCAGTAAGTAGGTGCTCACTAAACATCTGTTAAACAGACAAAAGCATGAAGGAGCAAAAATACACTCTCCTTTAAAGTTCCTTAACTAAACAGTCTAGAATATTTTGACAGAAACAGGATTTTCATAAGGAAAATAATCTCTTACCTTTCTCAAAGTATCTCATTGCTATTTGCAGAGCATCTTCTGTTAGCTCATCAGCATCAGCATGTTCAGATTCTTCCACTGGACTGTTTTGTCCATGTTTCGAGATGTTCTTTGAGTTGCTTAGGTTCTCTTTCAATTTCCAGGCCAAGAGATTAGTCTGATAACTATTACTACGTTGTGAAGTTCTCTTTGGTATCTGAGAGTTCTTAACTCTCTTTTGAGGTGACATTATTGTGCATGTTCTATACAGAAACAAGTGTCATTACCATTAATCAACCAAGCTGTCCCTTTTTACCCCACAAAGACAGGAACAGTATCTTCCTATATTCCCAAAATTCAGTACACAGTGCCTAACATACAACAAGTACCCAATAAATAACCTGACAAAAATCTGGGCAACAAAACCTATAGGTTAGCTTTCTCAGAAAGCCCTTGACTTAAATAGGAATAGAGAGAAATAACTCTCCAAGGTAACATTCATCAGATGAACTGGCCTTCCTATAGAGGGAGAAAAACAGTAAGAGTACAGGTAACATAGCAAATTCTCTTAAAATGGCTATATGATATAAGGGAGTCCAAAACTAAACCATCTCATGAACTCAATCTTACTTTCTCCAATCACTCCTATTTTTCTCCGCCCTTCTTTGATTTTGCTTTCATCTTTTATGCTCCATATTTTGTCAGTGCTTAGGTATAACTGTAGTTCAAAAGTCAAACTGGTAGGCAAACTAAGTATTCTTAGAACAGAAAAATTCCTCATTAATTAATTCACTTATTCAATAAATAATTGATGGATGTCATCTATATGCCAAGCATAGTTCTACTTACCAGGATAAAATAATAAAATAGTCAAGGTCTCTACTCTCATAAGACTTACAGGGGTGGGGAGGAGTGTGACAGTCAATGCAAAATAAGTACCTTATTTTACTATGTATATGTGCACCCATATTTTTGGCCCAAACTTTCAGAAATAAAATCTTTCATTTAATTTTTTAATTCAATTTATTTATATTTAGATACTTGTTTTTGTATAATAAAGGAATTTTAGCATTTATTTTGAACATTTCATGGTACAAGATATTTTAGGTAACAAATACTTACAAAACACAAGAACAGATACAAGGTATTTCAGGTACTACCCATGTATTAATGCTCATTCTTTTTTTTTCCCCCGCAAAAATTTGGGCAAAAAAATGCACATCATATATGGCACAATGCACTACATAGCTAATAGGGAATACAATACAATGATGTGATAGAAACGAGGTAGGGGTGAGAAGCTATTTTGGAGTAAGTGTCAGGAAAAGCTTCCCTGACTGACCTTTAAACTGACATTTGCATGCCAAGGAACCAGCTACCTAAAGATGTGCTGGAAGAGTATTTCATGGAGAGGGAAGAGTAAGATTTGCTAAGACCTTAAAGTAAGAGCTTCGCGTGTTAGAAAAATAGCAGCAACACCAGTGGGGGTAAGGAGAAGTGGCGACATGGTGGCGACATGAAAGAGGCAGAAAGTAATGGGAGACAAAGTCAGAAAGGCAGCCAGAGTAAGGAGTTTGGATTTTAAGTGCCATGGCAACTACTGGGGAAAGGAGAAGTGTTAGGCAGGGAGAGTGATACCATCTGGCTTAGGTTTTAAGACTATTTTAGCTACAGTGTAAAGAATAGAATCCTAGGGGTCAAGGAGTGGAAACAGAGCAGTTAAAAGGGCCTTGCAGAAGTCCAGAAGAAACATAACTGTAATCTGAACTGGGCCTAAAGTACAGCGGTGGAAGAGGTAGAAAATTATTGTATCGTGATATGTTTGGGAGATAGACTGGGCAAGACCATTATAAAATACTGGATGTAGGTGGGGAAAAGGTAAGAGAGGAACATAGAATTCTAAGTTTTTGGCTTCAAATGAGAAAAACTAAGGGAATGGTTGGAATAATACTCAATCCCACCTCCCTAGAACAGATGAGGCCAGAGCAGGAGAGCAATATGTGTATCAAACCCAGTGGGAGGTTCCAGGTTTTGAGCAGTTTTCTAGGTTCCTGCCGAAGGGCAGGCAAATAGCTTCTGACCCCACTCGGTTGACCGGTCCCATAGCTTCCAAAGACTCTTCCTGGCTCTTCCTGGTTTGGGGAGAAGACTCACCCCAGCCACACTTTGCAGGCTAGTCCTGCTCGGAAGTCAGTGAGATCCCCTTCGATTTCAGAGTCCCCCTGTCGCGCAGTATTTAAAAGTACCTTACCCAATGCATCGCTCTATCCCTGAAACTCCGGAGTCCAAAGATGCCCTCCAGGATTCAAATAAGCGAGCCCCACCCTGCGCATGCTCTTCCTGTGTGACGCAGGAGCGGGCCTGCCGAGCTGCGAGCTCTGCTTAAGTCTGATTGGTTAGGTTAAACATTAACGTCGCAAGGCTTCGCGCGCGCCGAGACTGACGCAGACCCAATTCCGCTTTGTCCCCCACCCCCACCCCCGCCACTCCACCTGGCGGGCCTCCTGGACGTGTCGTGGTGAGTTGGCCTTTGCAGCAGGAGCCAGCTGATTGGCTGGGGTTCCTGCTGTCCTAAAAAATATTTGCATTCATCATTTTGCTTAAAACAGAACAATCAGCGTGTTAGTTCTTGAATTTAACATGATTAGTCATAGTGATCATTTTGTCCAGGTTGACTCCAGGTTGATACTTGATAGGAAAATAAGAAACTGCAAACTTTGCAGTAAAGACTGCACCCCCCCCCCCATGCTGGGAAAGAGACTCAGGTTAAAGAGCCTGTGACCTCTAAAAGCTGTCCCTTTCCCTACGTGAAACTAGGAGGTGGGAGGGGAAAATGGCTGTATCTGCCCTCCTTTTACCAAGGATGGGTTCCCTTAGCAGAGCTTGCTAAGAACTTGTGTCTTAAACCAGATGTGGTACCTTGCACATAACCAGCCAGTCGACATGTATGTAAATATTCCTAAGTTTGAGGGGTGATGGACCTAGAAGAAATTGGTGAAAACAGTAATAAGAGCTTGGTGTGAGACCTAAGCTTAGTCCCTAGTTTTATCTCCTACTAGAGAAGGAATCAGAGAGGACAGATATAAACAGCTCTCGCTAATTGTTTGAGGCCAAAATATACCCGTATATTGTAGGCAAAACTATAGGAAGACTCTTAGGGAGAGATGAGGAATCAAAGATTAAGTTGGTATATTTGGGAGACTACAGTGGAAACGACTTTTCACCACATTTTATATTTGTGTGGTTTTTCAGTGCACTTTCATGAACTCTTATTGTGCATGAAAATTGAGTGTGCAATATTTTCATGGTAGTTGATCTTCCTTTTTCTACTAACTGAACATTTCTCAAGTCATTTATACTTTTAAGCATTTTATAGACTCAATTGTAAATTGGAAAGGGTCTTAATCCTTCAGTCCTCTTCTTTTTGTAAATGATGAAACTGGGACCTTGAGTGGTAAAATAACTCGCCTAATGTGACAAGACTATGGCACTGGAACTTGTGCCACTTTGTGGACACATATAGTGAGAGACACTGGCTCACCTTAACTTAATATACCTGAAATTTTCTCTGAACTAATTCTTCTACCTTCCCTTGGCATCACCTAGTGAAGCAGAATTCCCCAAAACTGGGAATTGTATTGGGGTACTAATTCAATAGCTTTCTATCAATATTTTATGTGCTGACATCACAGAGGTGTGGAAGAACTTAAATGAGATTGGAAAGTTGGTAGCCTCATTAGTATATTAAGTAATTATACTCTTTCTTTTCCCTCATCCAGTCAGAGAGAGAGGGAGAGAAAAAGAGACTGAATCCCTTGATATGACTCTTGCTTTCCAGACTTCCATTATTTGTCCCAACAGTTTCCTCCAAATTTCAATTTTTATTTTAAAAGAATGAGAGATATAAGACACAGGGGTATCAATCAATGAGAACAATGACAGTGAAGAAATACAATAATTTTACTGTACACACACACACGCACACAAAACACCCCCATCCTTTTCCCATCCTGGCACAGTAACATTAAATCCATCAAAGCACATCTAACAAGGAGAAACACCAGTAAGTAATGAAGAAAGCAAATTTTCATACTGCTGGATACAACTAACCCATATCAAATGTCTTTCCCCTAGCTAAACTCCACCCACCGGAATGATAAAGAAGTGTAGAGGAGACAACTTTGGGGGTAACTTATATGTATGCTTACACTAGCAAACTCAAGTGAAGATTCAACAGGAGTAGTAAATCTATTTTTCAAGGAAACACTGGGTACAGCTCCTCGATCAAATTTCAGATGATTTAAGAGAACAGTTTGTGAGATTCAGACTTCTATCAGGAATAATCACTGCTCCCTCAAACAACACTGGAGAAGCTGCCAAATACTGGTTAGTTGCTGAGAATGGTGGAAATGAGGCAGCTTTTGGCTTAAGAAAAAACAAACAAACAAAAAAACTCCAAGTTTATTGCTTCAGTTTCAAACTGGGTAAAGGAGTTTTGTAGGTTGGAGATGGACAAAAGCAAGGTGTAATGTCCAATTTCATCACCTAAAGAATTAGATTATCTACTGACTGCATATATTCCTTATTTTAGTTAAACTCAGTATGGAATATTTAAAATTTAAACAACTGTTGAAAGTAGAGGCTAATTAATTTTACACATACTCATTGCCTCAAATTGAAGGAAATTTTTTCTTAAAGTGGTAGATTCAAGTTTTCAGCTTATTCTATTGAGGGATTCCCCCATCCCATGGGAATTCATAATTTGTTTTTTATCAAAAGTAGGATTCTCTTTACAGGAGGTTTATTTCATTGTCTTCACTAGACTCAAGTCTATAAAGGGGAGGATACCTGTGCAGGATTAGTTCAAGGTCAGAGCCTTCTCCTCCACGGGTTGCATGCACACACACACAGTAAATATATTTTCCCACACATACTGTCTCATAGTCACATGCTCCCTGGAGTCCATCTCACAAAAGCACTTCAATAGTTAGCCATATACATGTACATGCAGCAAGATGTGAGAATTGCCCAAGAGTGATTAAAGGTGGCGTATATATGTCTATGTGGGGAGGTCATTTTAGGGTATAGGTGTACACAAGCCAACAGGGCCATTAACTTTTTCCCTTTCTCCTAAGATAAATAAATCAAATGAAAAACACACGCTGACATCTTCCTGGGTGTCATGGAGGCAACTGCCTGGAAGGTTCACTTTTTCACTTCCAATTTCCTATGACAACTTCATTTTTCCCTGAGGGGCCTTCTCATACAAGGAGGGCTGCTCTTCAGCTTTCCCTGCATTTCCCACGCTTCCAAGGGATGAGGGCTTCTTCTCAGAAGAGCGGTCTTCAGGCTTGCGGGCAATCAGCAGGCGGCAGGTGAGCAGGATTCCAAACACCAGGGCATGGGCATAACGTTTGAGAGGATCACCGACTAGCTGGTGGAAGAAGAGCACAACCAACACCAGCAAGAGCAGGAAGAAGTTGGCCACATCTTTGGGACGTCCAGGCACAAGGGTCATGACAATGCCACAGGCCACCTCAAGAGCACCAATGCTTTTACGAAGGAGAATGGAATTGATCCCCATTTTCTTCAGCAGAGGAAGGGCTCGGACATAGGTCTTGTAAGCACGTTTCTGGAGTAGAATACCATAAGGAAATCGCTGCATTAACTATGATTTTAACATTAGAACGAAGAAAACACCATTCCCTTTCCACACCAGCTAAGGGTGTCCCATTTTTACTGTTCCCCTAAATAAAAGCCTTGTAATTAAAATAAAGAAAAAAGCAAGTAGTCTGCTGAGATCCCTGCAATTTAAACCATAGTAACAGCATGGAAGCTAAGAGCATTTGACTTTATAGTTTAAAATTTTTCTGATTATAAATTAAAAACCACATTAAGAAATTAAAAGAAAATTCACCAGACCCATAAAATGGGTACAGATTAGCCATGTCCGTTATTTTCTAGTGCCTAACTTGCCCAAACCCAGAGGCATATGAATATCAGCAAAAATGAAACAAGGCAAGGCACAGTATGGTAAAGCCTTACTAATTTGGGCTTCCCTAATTTGGAATCTGTGATAATTCAGAAACTTCAGCTGAGCTGGACTTTATATTTGTGGAATTTGTAAAAAAAAAAAAAGTGCGTCCTAAGCAAGTAGAAAATTAAAAATGTATATAAATGTTAGCCCCTCATGTATCTTTAAAATATAGTAAGACAGAAATCATTCTCATGGTCATTGAGATAAATCCCCAGGCCTTTATAAGCTACTAACTTGATTTGCCTGGTTCGAGTTCATTAATTTTAATTCAACAGATATTGAAGACCTACAATAGACTATTTGATGGAGATAAACAGATGAATAAGACTGGGACAAGAAGCTCTTGGTCTAGTTTGGGGAAACAGATACATAAACAGCACTATAAAGCATCATTATTAGTTCTATATAATAGAAGTCTGTACAATGTATAATTGTAGCCCAAAGGGAGACATCATAGGACAGAGGAGGGAATCACTGGATATATTACAAGGTAATAGAATTATATGAATCTTAGAGTGATAGATAATCATATATTTCACTATTCAAAGTGGCCTGATCCTTATTTTGGAGTAAATTGATGAGATTTTATTAAGTGTCTTATTAGGTTGCCCCACTGCTTTGTTTTCATTAAGTATCCATTAGTCCATTCAATATTTATTATCTCCTTATGCTAGGCACTGGACTAGGTACTCTGAATACAGGTATCAAGTATTCAAAGACCCTGCCTTCCTGAAACGTAAGTTCATAAGGGGTAAGTAGTTATACAAATACATAAGTGCAACAAAGTATTATGAGTGCTGAATAAAATTATGTAAGTGGGTACAGTGTAGGCACACCAGAGGAAATGGTCAAGTCTTTCTAGATGGAGACTGAGAAAAGCTAGAGGAGAATCTTAAAAGAAGAGTAGGTATTTGCAAGACCGATAAGGGAAGGTTATTGTAGGCACAGGAAGCTAGGTAAGCTAAGACCTTCAAAAACAAATTAAATCGGTGTGTTGTGAATATTGCCCCAGTTCAGCACAGGTTGGGGTAGAGGGGAGACATGAGACAGGGGAGATGGATATGAATCAGATCACATATGTTATCTTGTGGAGATGGACTTTATCCTATAATTCAGGAGGAGCAACATAATTTGCTTTTAAGGAAATTCCCTCTGGAAAAAATGTGGAGGATGGGAGCAAGGAAACAAGGTGAGAGACCTGGACTAGAGTAATAACAGTAAGAACAGAGGGAAGGGAACAAAGTCAAGGATACTTTGGATGCAAATTTAACAGAATTTGATGTCTTATTGGATGTGAACATTGAGGGAAAGAGAAGTCAAGAAAGATTATCTGGTCTCTGGCTTGGGTGTCTGAATAGAAGTTTGGGAATGCACATAGAGGAACTGTGGGGTAGCAGGGGGCAGAAGGGAGTGAGGAATTCAGTTTGGGCTTTTCTGTATTGAAGACAACTAACTGGAGTTATTTGGTAGGCAGTAAGTAAGTGAGGTCTGGGATAAAAATACAGAATTGATAGTCATTTGGCATGCCAAAGTAGAATGTATACCATGGAAAAATCTGTGACAGATATTTAAGAAATGAGGAGAGGAAGAGTGTCCACAAAGTAGAAGAAAGTGTGGTCAGAAAAGTATAAGGAAAACTAGCAGAGACAGGGGGGCCAAGAGAGGTTTTAGGAAGAGATTAGTCAAATAAATATCCAGAAGTCAAACTGTTACATCCTATGGAAGTTCCATTTTTAATTTTTTAGCAACTTCCATACTATTTTCCATAGTGACTGAACCTATTTACAATCCTACCAGCAGTGCACAAGGGTTCCTTCACATCCTCACCAACAAAATTAAAACACTAATTTGGAAAGACATATATACCCCTAGGTTCATTTACAATAGCCAAGATATGGAAGCAACCTATGTGTCCATTGATATATCAATGGATAAAGATAATTCTCATCCCCCCCAGCAATATAAAAGAATGAAATCTTGCCACTCGAGACAACATGGATGGACCTAGAGGGTATTATACTAAATGAAATAAGAGCAAGACAAATACCATGTTTTTTCATTTATATGTGGGACAGAAACAGACTCATAAATATGGAGAACAAACTGATGGCTGCCAGAGGGAGGTGGTGGGAGGATAAATAAAAAGGTGAAGAGAAATGAGAGGTACAAAATTCCAGTTAAAAAATAAGTAAGCCATGGGAATATGGTGTATAGAACAGGGAATATAGTCAATAATATTGTTAATAACTTTGTACATTAAGAGATGGTTACTAGACTTATTGTGCTGATCACATTGTAAGGTATGTAAATGTAGAATCACTGTGTTGTGCACCTGAAACTAATGTAATAGTGTATGCCAACTAAACTTTAATAATTAAAAAAGTTAAAATAGAAAAAAAGAAGAGTCAGATGCACCAGATGCAAAACAAATACTATGAGAATTGGGCAGAAAGTCAAATTGACCTCTCAGAAGCATCTGGCACTTAGAATAGTTTCACACTTTCTAGTCTAGTTTTGGAACAAATGTTAAGTCATTTCTCTCATTTCTGGACAAATGAACATACCGTTATTTCATGGATTAATTAACATGGGTGGCAGAAGATAATCCTCTATGAGGACTGGTAAAAGACTGATGGGTTAGCCCTGGCCAATGTGGCTCAAATGGTTGAAGCGTCATCCAGTAACTGAAAGGTTGCGGGTTTATTTCCTGGTCAGGGCACATACCTAGGTTGCGGGTTCAATCTGGTACAGATCCCCAGTCCGGGCATGTGCAATTCCCGGTCCAGGCGCTTGTGGGAGGCAACCAATCGATGCTTCTCTCTGGCATTGATGGTTTTCTCTATCCCTTCCTCTCTCCCTCTCTCTCTAAAAGCAATGAAAAAAAAACGGTTTAGCCCTAGTCAGTTGGCTCAGTTGGTTGGAGCGTCTTCCCATACACCTGGAAGGGTTGCTTTCCCAGGAAAGATTCTATCCCTTGTGAGGGCTCATCCCTAAGTTGTGGATTAGATCCTGGATCAGAGCGCCTACAGGAGGCAACTGATTCATGTTTCTCGCATCGTTTCTCTCTCTCTACCTCTCTCCTTTCCCATCTCTCTAAAATAAATAAACATATCCTCCAGCGAAGGTTTAAAAAAAAACAGAAAGGAAGACTGATGGTTTAGTGAAACAAGTGCGGGTTTGGATTCAAAGAGAGCTGGGTTCAAATCCCATCTCTGCCACTTTATAGTTGAGTGTCCATAGGCAAATTTTGTGACCTCTCTGAGCTTCATTTTCCTTAGCAGGGCTGTGACTAAAGTGAAGTAAGTGAAGCTATTTGCCTTGAGTACAAAATTTAAGACAGTACCAAAAATACTCATTGATAAAAATATAATATCTATTACAAACAATGTCAAATTTTTAAGCAAAGGCAGGATCTAACTCTGCACATGCCCAACACTGCCTCACTCACCTCTTCCTAATTACATTCCTGTCAGATCCTGTCTTTATTTAAAATTTCACCTTACCCTAGACCCTATCCTGTTCCTGAGCATATAAGGAAATACAAAATGTTACTCATTCTTCCTTCCTCTTTCCATTTTAGTTTAAATCAGGGATTTTCAGAGAGAAATTAGGAGAGAGGATGACCAGTAGGCAGAGTAAAACCCTGGGCCAAACTGAGCAGACCAACGTGGGTGGAGCAGAGCAGAGCTGAGAGTTAGGTCACTTGGTGGTGGAGAGAAGCCTGCCTATTTTCCATCACTGTTCATCTAGATGCCACTTGCCCACTCTCTCCCCGTCTGCATTCTGGTGACAGTAACAAGGGGACATTAGGGAAAGAAATCTAGACTCAAGAGGTTTACTTAACACTTTTAAGTAAGGACCATACTCACTAGTAACACAAAGCTTCCCAAGGAGCAATTCCTAAATTCTAGGTGTAAACTTCTGACATGATGAATACAGGAGGGAAGAATTTCTTACTGTCATTTTAGAACCAAGCCTTCCAGATGCCGGCTGAATGGCTTCTGGAAAGTGCTCCTTTTTTGGTTAGGGCTAACCACTCATTATTCAAGAATAGATTATGATCTATACTGTCATGAAATCTATAGCCTGGGACCAAATTCTGGGCCTTTAAATTGAATTCCTATAACTTTAATTAACTTTTTTCTCTCTATTTGGCGTTATTCCATATTACTTTTTCATTTGTTTAAACTGCAGCTGTGGATATTCTTATGCAGCTAGCTGTTCCCTTTTTCCTCCTTTTCTCAAAAAGAGACTGCATGTGGATAAGTCATGTCATGAAATGTTTAGTTCGAAGCTAAGTAGGTACAGATAGCATCTATTCTCCAGGACTCCAGACAGGGAATTTTGAATTTGTTAGAGATAGAACTAAGCTTAGATGGAGTCTTGACATCATAGGAAGCCCTTTATTCTTGCTCCTGTGGGGTAGGATAGAGACATCAAAGGATTGCTGATTTCATCAATGTTTAGTCTGGGCCACCTCAGTTCTAACAATGGAAGGGCCACAGGTCTTAAGTCTATAGTAACTAGATCTTTCATTATTCTGATAAGAATAAAGAGAATTAAATGAGTGACTCTCCCAAAAGGCTCTTGCAATT